GGATCCTGGCTGGTGCAAGGAGAGGACTTTAGCCGCTAGGCCACCGTGTCGGGCCTGGATTGATATGATTTTCAAAGAGGTTCTAAGCCCTGGAGAGAAAATCTGGATAAGCACAGGTGCCTTTACTGACTAGACCAGTTGCATCTCTCCCCCACTATCACTGTCTTCACGTTGTCACCGCTGCAGTGTACGTGATAGTTAGCATAGGGGTTCTAGAAAAAGCCTGGAGTCCATGCACGAAGGACATGGGAATGATATGGTTTTTTTTTTCAATGTTTCATGGTTTATTTTAAATCACTGTAAAAATTTCAAGCTTTCTGTAACAAGCTTTCATATTTTGCTGTAAAGCAATCTGACCACTGACACTGTAACATGAAATCATTGTTATTCATGGAATTCTGTTCTCAGAACAATGTCTGTTGTTACCTAAGAATATTATTACTTGGGCGTTATTGATCCAAAAGGCGACACTCAGATACTTTTGATCTGGAGGTGAGAACTAATGTAGCTTCTTATTTGTTAAGATCTTTTGATAAATGGGCTATAGTTCCTTTTTCTTTGATATCAACTGGAATTGGTTAAAAAGAGTAGATTTGTTCAGTAATGTACTTTCCCTACCTTAATTAAATATACAGTTCTATTCATTTGTATTATTTTAACACATAAAAGTTGTATCAAGTAGACAATGAAAAGAGTCAATTGAACATTTCTTTCACTTTGTTTTATAAAAGTTTGCAACTGTTAATAGAGAATTTTCTAAATGATTAAATATCTATGGCTATAGGCAATAAGCATGATTCTCTCAGAAAGAAAATCAGGAGATTTTGTTAGTTAAACAAATTTATAGGTAACAAAAGTAAAAAACCTTGGCAAATGAGGAAGACAAACCTTTAATGAGACACACACAGCTTTGGGGGGTTGGCAGAAGACAATATTTTTATCTTTCTAAAGTCATCTGTGGTGGTATTGGAGAGATTGCAGTCAATTAATATTTTAGTTTTCACAGTAGTTTTCTTTCATTTATTTAGTCAGTATGAATATGTATGGAACACTGAATGTGCAGCACTGGTACTGGTGAAAAAGTGGTCTAATGCATATACTCTACTGGAAAGGTTGATTGAGTCAGAAATAGCCTTTTGTTTCTCCTTGGGCCTCCCAATGGTGATGGAATGTCTTTTCAGGATGTCTCAGTAGTGCTCATTCATGCATTGATGAGTTGGACAAATGTGGTCATAGGACTCACTGTTCTGTGCTGACGTTTCTACCCAGTTCTAAACTCCCTTTTAGCTTGATCAAGAGCTCAAACACAGGCTACATGGAGATCTCAATGCTACTGTCACCTCAGGCTACCATTCAAGTTCTCCTGGATTTATTCTCTGCTCCTCTCCCACGTAACCACCTGCATTCTGTACCATCATTCTTTGTGCTTATGGTATATATGTAGGTTCTGACTCTCCAAGCACTGAACATCTTGCACAGAGTAAGACATGGTTCCCCAGATGCAAGCTTAGAGTTCAGTGGGAGGGAAGAATGAGGCTCTCCCAGGTACAGACATTAGATAGTGTGGCCAGCCTCAAGTAGGCTGTTTCTAGACTATGGAAACTGTTTCTACACTTGCTTAATACTTTCATTATACTTATTTAATAGTGTATGCTGGTAGCAATCAGGTCTCAAAACAGTGCATGTGAAGCTCTTCCCAATTTCCATGGTGTAAATACTATCACAATAGTCAATTTCAATCTACTGATATGAAGTCATTGAACACAAATTAGGGAGGAGATAAAAATATTGAGAAAACAGCACAGCATCTTTTAATGTTTCTACTGATATGTAAAATGGGTATAAATAACTTCTAGAGGGTAAATGATATTAAGATAATTTGGAAGTTGTGAGTTTTGAAAATTTGTTGCCTTTGTTTAACGTGATTTATTTAGCTACATTTATGAAATTTAATTTTTAGTTATGACTGTGATCAACAATTGATCTTTAAAATGACTTGAAAACCATCCATCACCTGTTAAAGGCCAAGTTAGTTTCAGCATGATACTGTGCCAGGTACAATGTATTACATATTATAATTTTTATTTTAATTTATTTATTTGAGATGCACACACACACACACACACACACACACACACACACAATGAGAAAAAGGGAAAGAGAGAGAAAATGTCCCATCTTTCCATGCACTAGCTTGCTCTCCAAATGTTTGTAATAGTTGGGGCTGGGCCAGGCCAAGGCTAGGAGATTGGAATTCAGTTCAAAACTTCCCTGTAAGTGCCAGTAGGTGAAGTACTTAAGAGATGCTCTGTCTCTCTGACAGGTGCACCTTAGCAAAGCTGGAATTGAGCAAAGAATTGGGACTGAACCTAGGCACTCTGACATCAGATGCAGTATATCAAAGGGCATCTTAACTGCTGGTCCATACACCTACCCCTGTATAGCTTCCAAGCTGAGTGTGTCCCCCCATCAGGTTGTAGGTGTGACTTGTATATGTGTCCTCAGACTCCTACCCTCTGCAGAGTCAGGGCATCATTAATTCCTGAGCTTTCATTCACCTCAATTTATCATTCAATTCAGTGTGAACAAAGGGTCCTTTATTTTGAATATTAAGACTTAGGTCTAATTTTTGCTTTTATACAGAAAAGAAAACAGATGAACACATATATTATCAGATGGTCTCTATGTGAAGCCTTTGTGAAAGTAACGTATGTTACAGATGCTCATGGTTTGGAATCATTAATATAACATATGTTCCTCTTCACAAATGGCAAGTGTGGCTCCATTCTGAAACAACTCACGCCTTAGCATTAACACCCTTATCTTATGCTCAGGGTCTGATTGTGGCGGATGCACAAGACTTTCCATGCCAAAGGATGTGTTTCAATGGCAAATGTTTTTGCTGGACCCAGACAGGCCTGCTCAGAGCTGGTCGTATTACTTCTGTCATTATTGTGGTCAGTGTTGCGCTGTTCTCATCACCGTTATCAACCAGCACTAGTTGATCAAGGGCTTTCACGTGCATCTCACTGTGACAGATACCATGAGAATCAAGGGGCACCAAGGATCCCTTGAAGGTCAGAGCTCAGAGGCAGAAACAAACATTATGCAAACAAAACCCTGCAATTTTGGTGCAGGAGATGTTTCTGCAGCTGTGGCTGAGATCCTAGCAGATACAGGCTCTCCTTGGGAGGGAAAGAGGGTGATGAGAACGAGGCAGGAAGTCTATCAGCCGAGGGTATCTGAGTGGAATCAAGCCAAGGAGGAAGATGAAGGTTGTGTGTGTGTGTGTTGGCGGGGGGAGGATTTGAGGGAGTGGAGGAGGTGGAGGAGAGAGAGAGTCACAGAGACACAGAAAAGACAGTGAGACAGAGAGAGGAGGAGGAATGGAGAAGGAATGACAAAGAGGAAGAGAAATAACAGAAGGAGATAGAAGAGAAAAACAGTGAGGTGGGCTTTGAGCTATTAGGTAAAAGGAAGGGAATACCTTCAAGTCTTTCAGTTATGTCCTTCCTCTCCTTTATGCTCCTCCATCTTTTAGCACACTCAGTGCACAGACTTATTGCTGAACGAAGAGGACTTAGTGCCCTAACCCATCCGGCACTTGTAGGTTATTTCCTGAGTGACTCCAGCAAGTTCTCACTCCAGCCCAGCAGCTCCACTGTCATTAGGATGTTTCCACACTTCTGCCTTTTTTTTTTTTTTTGGCTGGAAGTCGTCTAGTACCCGTCTTAATACAGGGCACTGTTGGAAATCCTCTGGAAAGGGTGCAAAGTGGGTCCTTGGATCTCAAGGGTATTTTGTTCAAGAGAGGCAAGCCTGGTTTTGGGGCTTGGCTGGTCATGAACCACAAATACAATGAAGGTTCTGCTGCCCTAGTTCAATATATCCTCTATTGATGTCTTAGATCCTAGAGACAACAGACTCTCAATTCTGTAGCATTAATTTTCTTCGTATCTTTTTTTTTTCCTGGGGAGTCAGAGAGTTAATTTAGAAGCCTAGTGCTCTGCGAGGGTACCAAGAGAATTTCTGTTAAAGTGAAAATTGACACATTTTTATATATATAAAAAACTTCATGCATAGATGAAAATCTTACAAAGGAGGAATGCATTTTCTTCTGAAAGATGAGCTCTTTGACGACCAGGGGCTGTTCCCTTTGATAAAAAAATCAGGGCTTTGATTTATTGTCGTCAGGCTGTCTGGGGGCTCTGAGCAGCCAGGGGCAATCAAAGTCAGCCAAGTAAATGACACTATTTTTTCCTGTAGCCATTTGGTAATTTCCCATGAGAACTCAGAATCCCTGTTCTCATGGGGCTCATGTTTTCTGTGCTTGCTAGCCCGGGAGGTCTCACAGAGGCCACCAGGAGGCTTGGCAAACCCCCTTGCCCACAGGATCCGGTGTGAAGTATGCCCTTGGCCAGGCCCCTCCATGAGGGGTGATACAGACCCCTCCCCTCCACTCTGTGCTTGCCGGACTCTGGCTGATGTCTCCCTCTCTCTGGCCTCAGGCTGGCTTCTTCCCCCACCTCCACCCCTTTGTGTCCTGCTCTCCGCAGTGGGGGCAGCCACTTGGCTGACCATGATGGCTTCTCCTCAGGCCTTTATCATGTTTTAGTGACAAGGGAAGGCCTGCAAGCTCTGAGGGTGAGAAGGCAAGCACGGGGCAGGGGACTTGTAGCCAGGGAGTGTGCGGAACCCAGGAGATGTTGTGGGGTGGTCATTCCCTGACAGTGATCATACTTACCGCTCAGGGAAGCCAGGCATTGTCAGTTCACACAACAACCTGAATCTTGCTTGGAAGTTTGCTCTCTGAAGGCTTGTCTCTCTATCTCAGCCAGCTGGGACTCAACATGAACAAATGGCTATTGGAGAGAGGCAGCTGAGTGCTAAACCTCTGCTCTTACTCAGGGTTAGGATATGCAGTAGAGCCCGTGGCTTTGGCTGTCCAGGCTGTGGGTTGCAGTTGAGTTTGTTGCAGTTTGGTGAGTGGAGGCTGTTACCTGGCGATCTTGTCTGTGCAGGACATCGTGACCAGCTGCTCCCCCAGCAGGATGCCGTCCCAGGTCTGCACTGCGATGGGGCTCCTCACAGGGACCGTCCCTTCCCCAGATTCGATCTTGGTGCGCAGGTGCCCGCGGAACTTCCTGACGATGTGTTTGCTGCTGTTCACTAGAAAAGAAAGGGCAGTGAGAGAGGAGGTAAAGATGCTGCTTCAGAGACACCGGAGGGGCTGCGATTACATGAGGCAAGAAAGAAGGGGAAGGGAGATGCTGTAGAGGGCTCTGGGTGTGAGAAGACACACTTGGGATGTGTGTGTGTGTTTATGGGGAGAGGATTTCACTAACTCAGCAGGGTTTAGAGCTGGACTCTAGAGCAAAACTATGACCATGGGTTGGCTCACGTTCCTAGAAAAGACCAGACTTTGTGGGCCATGTTGTTGCTGTCACCACTACCAACCTCAGCTGCTGATGTGCAAAAGCAGCTCTGGGGGGAGGTTCAGAAAGAAAGGAACATGGATGCACTCGCTTTATGGACACTGAGTTCTGTAGATACAATTTTTACATGCAAAAAATTGTAGTCAGATCTTGCTATCCACGGATTTAACCCACTATGGCTTGAAAATATTAAGGGGGCTGCATTTTGCAGCCGATTGGTTTATGCAGTCAACTTAATTTTCCTTTTGGAACCTGGTTCAAGTTCGAGTTGTTCTGTATCTGGTCCAACCTCTTTCTTACAGGCCAGGGAAAGCAGTGGGAGAAGTCCTAAGTATTTGGGTCTCTATTATCCATGTGGGAGACATGGATAGAGTGCAGGGCTCCTGGATTCACCTTGACTCTGGCTCAGCCATTGGAGCCATTTGGGGGAGGGAAACAGAATAAAAGATCTCTCTCTTTCTCTTTGTCTCTTTGTCTTTCTTGCTCCATCTCCTTTCCCCTCTCTTTTTCACTCCATCTTTCAAATAAAACAGAATATATTTAAAAAAGGAAATAATTAGGAAAATTACAACTGTTCTGAACATTTACAAACTTTCCCCCATCATGTTTCCTTCAATAAGGCAACAATCTGCATAGCATTTATTTTTTGTTGAGTAATATAAGTAGACTTTGAGAGTTGTCAGAGACCTTTTCCATCCTACAACCAATCAATGCTGTGTGAGACTTCCCTTAGGCTTATGAGTCATCCGCAGAAGGGAGAGCCAATGGGATGGACCAATTCTGTTTGGCACAACCATCAAGTGTCTGCCCTCTGCCAGGTAGAATGTGGTTCTCTTCTTTGCAACTTTAATGATACTAGGAGTCAGATGACAACGGTGATGCTTGTGAGGATGCTGGTTGTGGATGGGATGGTGATGGCTAGTGATGGTGGTGATGACGATAATGCTGAGGATGACACTAGGTGTGAGTGAACTTTGTAGAGTGACAACAGGATGGTTCTGACAATAACCTGATGGCAGTGATGGAGATAGGGTGATGGAGATGGGATGACAGCAGCAGCAATGATGCTAATGTTGGTGGCGATTGCGATGGTTGTAAAATGAAAATTAAAAAAAAGTTCACATGACTCAAAAGCATATGAGTAAATCTGCTTTAAATAAAATCTTTTATCCTATGCTGGTGGTGGAGGGGGAGTCCCTTTATTATAAACTTTCTTGTAACTAGTAGCATTGGAATGGTGGAGCAGCCAGCACACCTAACAGTTTCCATGGTGTTAGAAACTTTATTCTTCCATTTGGGAAAATTTTCTCAGGGAATATGATATTTGTGGCCTCTTTAATGCCCATCAATTATAATGTCCTATATTTCCCTAGCACTTCAAGCTATTTCATTATTTTCCAGACCTCAAAAGTTGTCCATGTTATTTTAAGACCTTTCTACATTCTTATTCCCTTTGTGCACAACTACTTTCCAGGAAATGCTGACTTTGTCATGTGTTAATGCTGTGACACAAAGAGGGCTAATTTGCCTTAATAACTTGTTTCCAGGAGTTAATTCATAGTTTTTAGGCTGGGTTGATTTTGCCTGAAGAGCCAGGTGTATGAGATGCTTCTGAGAGTATTTATTTTTGAAAGTGCTGTATCTCAGGTGACCTTCTCCAGCCCCCGTTCTGATGAGCGTGATCGCTCCCAGGGAGACTCTGAGTGTGAGTGATCTTGTAGAGCCTATTTTCTCTGGTTCTTGCTTGGCTAATTGCAATAGGCAGGAGGAAGTTGAAGATGCCACTTCAAGTAGAATGAAATGCCAATCCAGCCAGCAATTGCAGAAAACTGAACTTAACTGCTAGTGGATTTATAGTGTGCCAGAGATGGTGGAAATATGAAATTTTAAAATCCCACCTGCAGTGTATACACAAATACTCCAAAATCCATTAGAACTTTCTAGTCAGGTCTGACATTGCAAAGCTTCAGATCCTTTGTTATAGCATTTACTAAGATAAAAAATTTATCTTTCGAGATTGATGTCAAGGTACAGCCAAAGTAGTAAGGTATTTTATAAATGTGTTCCAGAGGATTTTACTTTTAGGGGACCATACTAAAAAGATGACAATACGTGACAGTTAAAGAAATCCACCTTCTAGGGAATTCAGATTTATTTAAGAATGACACACGGGTGCTACAATGATAGAAGAAAGAGACAAACATGGAAGTTAGAAACTATCTCCAAGGTAAAGGAAAGGAAGCAAATATATATAAACATCAAATTAGCTTTGATAGTCTGTATTCAAAAGGTGTATCCAAGAATGTGCATCTGTAAAGCAATCTACAATTCACATCAACATTACAGTCTTTAGCATTCCCCAGTTTTAGCCATGTAGGTGACCTTTGCCTCAGATTTTGATGGTGAGAATGTTGATGACAGTGACCATGTTGAATAAGGGCCATTAAAATTCACTATCCCACAATCTCTGGATATTGTCATACTCTGCATGTTTTTGTAATTTACATTATGAAATCTGAACACAGAAATAAAAGGAATTGTGCCTTATGTTCCTTGATTTCCTATAGAATTTTCATACGATTTCTTAGAATGCTCTTTTATACAATACATGAAACTGGTTTCCAAAAATGTACTAAGGACTTAGCATAAAGTTCTAGATACATATATGCCATTGTCCTGCTGTTTTTCCTGTCTTCCTGTGGAAGATACATTGGGCAATTTAACTACTCTGTTAAATTCTTGGAAAATCATATTAAGAAGTAAATTTTAGCATTTAAAAAGCATTTAGGAGAAAGGAATTTGCAGTAAAAGTTTGGTATTTTGGTTTGGAAGGAAGACAGAAGTAGTTAAAGTGAATGGCTCTATAACTTTATTCTTTTACACCTCAGCTTTTATTAAAACATTCTTAATTCTAACTCAGTACTCCCAGGGCCTCTGAAGAAGTGGAGTCATCCTCCAGCAGTCTGTAGTGAGCTTCGTGGCTCTCGGGTGGAGACCTGGGTCAGCTCAGAGTCCTGAGTGTGCAGCACCTGTTTCTGAAAGAACCTTCCCTTTGTAGTGCATGCAGTATGCTAGTCAAACTCTTTTCTGACTTCCCACTCCAAAGTTCTGACAAAGTGCACTACCTGGTCTTTGAAGATATTCTACCAAATCATCCTGAAGACCTCTCTGTTAACCCAGCAAGGAAATAAGTATCTAATTTTGACAGGACGTGATCTAAGAGAGTTTAAATCTAGTGGCTCAAACCATGGCCAATGTTCAGAACTTACCCATGTTTGGACACTCCTCCTTGGCAAATGCATCAGAATCTTGGCCAAGGAGCATGTGGTAAGAATTTGAACTTGCAAAAATTCCCAAGAGGCCTTCATAGACAAACTAAGCATGGAAGAAATGGAATGTAATACAGGTCTAAGCTTGCAGACAACATATCTCCCCAAATATCTTGTGTCAGTTTGCACTGATATGCAATATGAAGACTCCAGAAACGGATAATTTGTGAGCTATACAGAGGAATGTTTTGTGGGGAAAAAATAAAACAGGAATATGGAATTTCCCAAGCCACAAACTAGGGAAGTGGAATTCTATGGTAACAGTAGTGCTGTGATATGATATCTTAGATGTTGGTCTTTAGGGAATTAAAAAGTCAGCAGACATTGACTTAGGGAGCTCAAGGGACTCATGAAACCTTTAGAGCTGTCAGAACAGCTGTGTGGCCAGAAAGGTCCCTAGAGGAAGGCAGTCACTTAGCAGCTGGTCTGGAGTCAGACATTTGCTCCTGGAAATTCCAAGTTAGACTCAGTTCTCCCATGGGCCTTCCAGTGCTACGATGCTTGCTTTAATGATTGCTTCAAATGGTCTACTCTATTTCCCTGTTATGCTCTGTTCTGCTTCCTCCATTCTTTAAATGAAGGGGAGCAATCTAGGCCACCTGTTCCAGTTTTCCAACTTCTGTTAGACTTAGTCATGTCCTCATTGTGTCACACCTGTTAAGTGTTTGTGTGTGTGCATATGTGTTTATGCACATTCATGTAAATTTATGCATGTAAGTATATATTATTGTACTTCAAAATGTTCATGGAAAAACAGAACTAAAGGAAACTTAGTTCAGTGCAAATATATTTTTTAAAATCCATGTGTAATTTTTCTGCAGTATTTATTCCATAAACTTCTTAAAGAACCCCCACCTATGTATGTGCGTGTTTGTGTGTGTGTGTGAGAGAGAGAGGAGAGAGAGAGAGAGAGAACTCTGACACAACTGCAGAGGTTAGCATGCTGCACACCCTAGTGGAGATGCACACACAATAACTCTAAATAGGCAAGATGAAGGAAAGAGTGAGAAATGAGCTAATGTCATCAGGACCAACCAGGGAAATATGCCAGAGAATGGGCGAGGAGGTGGAGAGAAGCTCAGGAGACTGAGAACTCCCTTTGATTTCAATGAGCCACTTGAAGCCTGGATGCAGAACTCAGAGGAATAGCCTGAGTGTGCCTGTGTTCTGCAGCCTCTATGTGTGAGCTTAAGCACATGATGAGGACTTTGAGGGATAGTGGATCCATAGATCATAGACGCTGGGCTTCATTTAGGAACTTGGGACTCTGAAATGATAATGTGGTGAGGCTGGGCTTTCTATGGGTTTAATTCATTGGAGATGACTGATGCTGGCAGCTGACTTTTTGGGAGAAGATCCCTAACTGGTATTTTCTCAATTTCTTGCAATAAACCTTTCTTGCCCACAACAGAGGCCCTGGGCAATTGCAACCTCTAATTCACAGCCCAGCCTTCTTTAAAGGGTGGTGAAGAAAAACATGGCATGGACTAGCACCGCGGAGAGCTCCCCACTGCTTTTGCTGTAATGGCATCTTTGTCCTCTAGAAGGAAATTACAAAAGGTATTCTTGAGCATCTCTCTGAAAGCACCTTTCAAACAGAGAACAGCAGGGGTTTGGGCTTGCTTGCCCTTTTGGAGTTAATAAGGGAAAAGTGATTCATAACTTTTGGCTAACAAGTCAACTTTACAAATTTGCCAAGTGCCTACCTTTTCCATCCTCCCAGGCCTAGAGGAATGGGGGAGGGATACCAACCTAACTCAAAAAACAAAGCAGGCGATAACATCTCATTTTAGTCTGGTGTAAAAAAAGCATAAATGGGAGAAAAATACTTTATTATTATGATGATGATTATGTTTTTCTTGCTACAAGCACCTTCCACTTTTCAAAAGCACCAGGAAACAAAAGACATCTGTGTCTGGAAGTGAACTTGAGGGTGCTTCCAAAGATGTATCTTTTTGTTTTTCTAAACCACTGACATTGCAAGTTGAAATTAAGTCTGGAAAGGCCCCAGTTGTGCTTGATGTACGGTGACAGGGGAGACCCAATGAGCTAAAACTGTCTTTGTGTAGACCAGTGGGAGGCAGGCATGGCTGAGGCTCCTGTTGTCCTCGCTTGGCCCTCTTCGAATTCTTCCCAGGGCACAGGGGGCCAAAGAGGAAACCAGAAACTAGACTGATCCTCAAACGCTTGTCAGAACATTTCCTCCTGGCACCTGAGAGCTCCCAGGTTGGATCTTCCTGATGCCAAACCTTTTCAGACAAAAATGGAAAGATAATTTCTCGCAAATGCAGAATGGACCAAATTTTGCAATGTTATAGGGTCAGTTGCTATCATGTAAGTGTGGTTTGATGAGCATTTTCAGGGAAGATGAGTCAACTCTATGGTGTTTTTCCTGTCTCTGGTATTCGTCCTGCACAGTCATGCAGGAATACACTGCTTGATCCCACTGGGGATTTTCTTTTTCCACTGAGGGACAGCTGTGGTCATTTATTACCTTTCGCAGGCCACCCCAGCCTTCTCACCCTTCTATGGGCAGTTCTTTAAATCTGTATTGGGCTCCCTTTCTTGGGTTCTCCATTCAACTTGCTTGTCCCATTCACTTCCCAGTGGATGTGAAGATGTCCCATTATAATTCCCCTGTGAAGAACTCTCCCCTCCCCCCCGCCCTCCCCGCCCATTCAATTGCTCTCCCAAGGGACACATAAGGGGTTGGAGGAAGTCAGTAAAAAGGACAATGAATTTCTCTGGGCTAGCATCTACTCTGAGGGCTTGAAAAATAGCCTAAACATACATAGGGTTAAAATAAAACCTCACTATTTTCCTCCGCACCATCTTTATCTGTTGTGGAGGCATGGGTCACAAGCCTGGAGAACAACAATTTGTATTTCTCCTTTAGGAATTAGAGCACAAATGTAACTTTCCAAAGGAGGAAAACTAGAAGGTCAAAATCAAGTCTTCATAACTGCAGAGTCCATGTTTTTAAAAACTTGGATGCCCTTTGATATTTAAACATTGATCTAAGGACGAGATTCTTCATCACACACACATATCCATTTTGAGGGGGTGTAAAATATTTTTGTATTTTATTTAATTGGAATTTAAAAAAATATACCAAAATGCTGCCTGTGATCCAATCTAATTGGCAGAGAATACATCTACAGCTATTAAATTTCATTGCCTATGTCAGAAGCTGTTCCAGGACTGCTTCCAGAAAGGGCTCGGAAGAGCATGAGTGTTGTATGCACTCTACATATGCACATGCAGGTGCACTGTGTACACACACAGCACTAATAATAGAACCTCATCTCCTGTCGAAACAGAGGAGCCGTTTCCTCTGGACATATGTTCTTCTACTTGGACACACTGAGGCCATCAGCAGGGACACCACAGCAGGAACTTAACTCTGTCCTCCCACCATGGAGATGACCAACGGGGCTCAAGGGCACACACACAGTGCTTTCTTTTCCTGCACATTTACAAATACTGACAAGGCGGGACCTACCAGGGCTGGATTTTTAACAGTAGAAGCTTGTAGTTAACATAGGTAGGCACCTTTGCCAGGTACCCTGCACCTGTATGTTCATGAGCTTTATTTTCCCCAAAGTTGGAAACAAAGACAGAGCTAATTTGAATTTTGTTCCCACCTCATGCCACTCTTGTTTCCCATCTCTCATTCTGTTCAAAACTTGGGATAACTGTCTGACCAAATAAAATGAAGCCCAGTTGTGGCAATTAGATAGCTGATTTTAGGCTGCAGACTACTCTTCCTCGAAAGTTGGGCATTGCAGACAAAGATTTTGTAAGTATTATTCAGCTAATTGCAGGTGCAATGCACTTTCAGCATCTTAGGGCCCTGGCCACCCTGAACCCAGTGTGTCTGGATTCTGGAAGCCAAAACCAGAGTTCAGAGACAGAGAGTTTTTGTTTGTTTACAAAAGAGAAAGCAACGGGGCCAGAGCTGTGGCATATAGAGTGTGGCAGTGCTGGTATCTCATATGGGTACCACAGTTCCATGTCTGATGCAGCTCCCTCTATTGAGCCTTGGAAAGGAGTGAGCTACTGCCCCAGTGCTTGGGAGATCTGGAAAAAGCTCCTGACTCCTGGCTTCAGCCTGGCCCTGACTTGGCCATTGCAGCCATTTGGAGTGTGAACAAGAGGATGGAAGGTTTCTCTCTCTTTCTGTAACTCTACCGTTCAAATAAATCAAATCAATTTTAGAAAGGTAAATATGACATCTCTTACGGTCTGTGGTGATTTCGTAGGGAGAGTTGAGTCTGGCATCTCCACACGGGGATGTGCTCACGTAGAGATGGAAGAGAATGTTTTCTCGCAGCCGATAGCCTCCTTCCTTTAACCGCACAAATATGGACCGCTCAGAGTCCTCGCACCGCTTGCTAGGGTCACAGAGAAGTTCCAGGTCATTTATTACCAATCAAACCAGCAAAGCCCTAAACAGGTGAATGTTATTCTGTCTTGAAGAGCTGCTCTCCAATTTTTCCCCCTTCCTATTTCATACTATGGTTTTTCATTGCAGCAATACTTCTAGAATAAGTAACGATGAAGCTAAATGAGTGCAAGCAGCCAGCAAAGACCCTCTCTTAGCAGGTTCACACTGCACAGAGTCAGCATTTGTAAAAGTGCTCCAAAGGGCAATATTGCACCGTGTATTGATGACTTGCCATAGCTTTCCTGTGCAGTACCTGTGTGAATTATAGGGGTTGGGTGAGGGGAAGAGACTTTAAAATGAGGTTGAGGTTAGCTTTCAGCATGAGCAGGTAGGGACAAGAAGGGGATAAGGAACCCACTTTTCTTTTGCAGCCAATCATGAGCCAGGGTAGTTCTGCAAAAACAAAACAACAAAACAAAACCCTCCAAATCCACCCTCCCCTGAAACCTGGACTTCCTAATCTCGAGGAGACTCAGGCTTCATGTTCTTGGAAAACCTCCCCATTCACCCCTGAAAGTCAGCTTGGAGGGGTCCCACCTTAGTTGCAGTGTGCTTTCATGCAAGTGGCTGTGCTTGTATTTTTTCCCCTCCCAGATTTTCGTCTGCTTGCTTCCTTGCCATCTCCTTTCTGCCAGTCTTGCTGTTTTTACATGTTCTGCCCCATTGGTGATGGATTCTGTTTTGCTGGGCTCTGAGTGCTCACAGGCAGCAGAACAGACATTTTCTCCCCAGGAAACCCTGGAGGCGTCTACCAGCCTTTCTGCCTCTGTGCTCTGGCTCCCTCCACTCACCCTCATCCTCCTTCTTCCCAAGCATTCCCTCTCCTCAAATAGAGAGCCACCTCCTCTGTGGACCCTCCCAGCAAATGTGCCCCCTTTGCTGGGTTTCCAGCTGGGCAAGCTGCACAGCTGTGCTTGAACTTTGTTCCATTTTGCTGCCATTGCTGGTGCCCCTGTGCAGGGGGGTGGGGACTGGGTCACAGTTGTCTTTGAAACCCGCCCAGCTGGCGGCATAGTGCTGGGCACACAGCCAGCTCCTGGTAAACCTTGGCCCGCTTGGCTTGCCTGACACATGCAGGAGGTAAGGGTATTTGCAACTATTTCCAAGCAAGCAGCTGGATATTCAGGAAAGATTCTTTCGCACATTTTGAGAGATTTCCAACTCTGTTCCCCTACATAAACTCTAGCTGCACTCTGGGCAGGCTTCCTGGAACTGACATGGCAATACATCAGGCTGCTGCTCACTACTCAGAGGCGCTGATAAAAATTAACTGAGTGTATTAAGGTATTGCTTTTATGTGAGCCTGTTTGGCATACACTGGGGCCATTCTTCCCTTTGTGTGGTTTTTGCACATGCTAATGGGAACGGATGTGTCGCTCACCACAGCTTCCACTTCCTGAGATTCCCATTATTAGGGGATTTGAGGAGCATTGCCTCCAAGTCTACGGGAGTGCAGCTAGAAGGGGCAAGGGAGGAGCATCTCCAGCAAATGGACCCATAGCATGAGGACTAAAGAGCCCCCTCCAGGAGCACCAGTGTGTCTTCGAGACTGATGTCCAGGTGCCAGTATGCCTGTACCTGGAGCAGGTATCCATCAGATCCCTGGGAACTCCAATGCTGAAGCATGCTTCTTAGGTTCTCAACAGCCTCGTCATTTCAGTATACTCTTGTCAAAATACACATAAGCTTGGAGATGGAGGCAAGAAACAGGAAACATCTCAAACCCCACCTGTGGATGCTTTAGCCACATGCCTTACAGAGAAAATCCAGACAATGGAACACATTTGGGAATGTGGGGTGTGGAAACAATTAAGCCAGAAGAGGGCGACCTTGTACAGGAGGACAAAGGCTGGCAGGTGTTTGAACCCCAGAGGCATACCTTCCACCCTAATCCACCAAGAGCTGGAGCTTGTCCAGTGGCCGCTGATCCTGTGGCTTGGGAATGAGGACCGAAGACTAAAAAAAGTAGCACCCTGCCTCTGGCTGGCATCTTGGTGGGGTTCTGGCCATTCTTGCAGAAGCCTTGAATGTGAGGAGATGTTTCCTTGGCTGAGAAACTCTCAGGGTAGGGCTCTAAGGGAGGCACTCCCTTTGGTGGGAATCATGAAACACAGTCCAGACTGACATGGACATAATATCATAAAAATTGAGCAGATGTGTTGACTTTAACGTAGTAACTTAGCTTGATTGAGCCCCAGTATTCATCTGAGTAACTTCATACTGTAACTCCACAATTACAACTCAGTTCAATCCATGCTTGGTTGGATGACATGGAACAACATCTTCCATCTCCAAACAGAGTATGTTAATTTCTCTTCCTTCCTCTCTTTCTTCCCTTCTTCCCTCCTTCTTCCCTCCATTTCTTCCTATTTTCCTTCTTTCCTTCCTTCCTTCCTTCTTTCCTTCTTTCCTTCTTTCCTTCCTTCCTTCTTTACTTCCTTCCTTCTTTCCTTCCTTCCTTCCTTCCTTCCTTCCTTCCTTCCTTCCTTCCTTCCTTCCTTCCTTCCTTCCTTCCTTCCTTCCTTCCTTCCTTCCTTCCTTCCTTCCTTCCTTCCTTCCTTCCTTCCTTCCTTCCTTCTTTTCTTCCAAAATGAAGATTGCAACTGGAGGCCAGTGATTAGAAGAGCATTGCCTTCATGTATATCCACAGTCAGGGATCACAGTTCAGGCTGCACCTGGGTGGGCTTTTTCCCTGAGGAGACCATGCTGTGCCCTGCAGCTGGCTCTGTGATTTCTGCCCCTCAATTCTGCAGCAATTAGAGTTTGAAAGGCCAGCAGGAGAAATGCCTTGGTAAGATGCTGACTGCATGCAAGAGAAAGGGATGCTCTTGTAAACAGAGCTTTAGCTTATGGGATTCTGTAGTGATGCTCTGAATATCTTCATGGGAAAACATCAAATGGAATGACTATGACAGGGCATGCATCTATGTGTGCCTGCCTGCATGGTGTGTACACATAGGTGGAATTCACAGGCAGGTAGGGTGTTTCTGAAGAGACGTGGGCCTCCGTTCTGTTCCGTAGCTGCTCACCAGCTGAACTATGTCAGCAAACCTGTTAAAGAACTTCAGCCCCATCAAAGACCAGCCAGACCCCTCGACCCACCAGTAGAGGCCCCTTTACCTCAAATGCAGCTCCAGCTGTGCATAGAGAAAGTGAAGGAATGCCCTCCTGGCTACAATCTCTGCATGGCAGTCATTGACCACTAGCCCCTGGTCATTGATGTGCTCTCCGCTGATGCACTTGGTCCCTGAGGACAGGACGATGACCTGTGCTTGCCTGATGTCCAAGCCTGTGGGACACAGAGAGTTGTCAGAACAGCTCAGTCTCCATACCCCTTCCCCATGTTGCATGAATGGAGGCTCCATGGGGGCAGCCCTGCCTAGCCTCCCTCATGCAGAACCCCTGGTGTGGACCAGGATAATATGCATGGTAAAGTGTGATACATTTGTGATGGATGGCATGAACCAGTGTGCTAAGACCACATGCACAATGAAGCCACTGGGTCTGGCAGCAGCCTTGGGTGGGGACTTGGCTTCTAGGACTCCTAGAAGTTGTCAAGGAACCAGGTTTGGTGGGTTTCCGGGATCACAATCCAGGAACTGAGTGTATGGGATACATTTCATACTTCTTGGCACTTATACCCCAGGACAAAGTTGCAAATCACTAATGGCAGCAGAAGTAGGTAGAATTTCTGATTCAAAATAGCAAGACTTTTCATCTTCCTTGGAGAGCCCCAGGATGGGTGGCAGAGAGGTAGCAGGTTGCAAGCCATGAGGGGTTGAGGGCCATCTGTACCCAGTGGACGCCCCAGCATGCCAAGCCAGTGGAAGCCAGGCTGCTGGAAGCTACCTTCTTTCCTGCTTCCCGTGCGCTTCAGCAGCTGGACCCAATGTATGCTCAGTTTTCCCCTCATCCAACTGGCCCCACAGATGGTTGCCGCTGCTACCCACATCCATTGCTCTCCTTTTAGCTTCTGTGCTCTGAAGAGGGTCCACTGGTCCTGGACATGCTATCCACACTCTGTCCTATCTAGTGGGAACCGGTTATTTTGGAAGATATCTGACAGTGTCATAGACTAAAGCTACAGAACCAAGAACTAATTCTGCATCTTGGTACCTGTTATCTAACTTCTCATATTCTGAGAGAAAAGAATCCTCACAAGTTTTATGGGGTGTGCCTAGGGACAGAACCAGCCTCCTTTCCCCACCCTGCCCCTTACCAGCATCATCTCCCTTCTTCCTGATTTTTTACATTAAAAAAAATTCCTTTGAAAGAAGGAAAGTGACAGACCCCATCCGCCGATTGACTCTCCAAATATCTGTAGATCCCTGCTGTGGTTTGCTTGCCTGATGCTGTCAGGAAACACCTGGACGTTTATTTTGCTACATTTGCTCCCCAAGCTAGCAGTTATGTTGTTTTATAAAGGCAGAAATAAAACACAACCAAATGCCTTGTGTTTCCTTCCCAAGGAAAAATTTACAAACAGCTTCTGTCCTCTTCCTGCACCCTGGCATCCTTGTGTTCCAACTCCCTGCTCCCCCAGAGTGGGTTGCCCCTCAGGTGGGGGTATTCTAGGGCTGGAGTTGATGGTTTTTTGTCAACAGGATTTTTTATTGTACAAATTGTATTTTTGATACTTTCTACAAATTTAATTAGGATGTGAAGAGTCAAGGTGTCAACAAAGTTGACACTACAGGCAACGAAGAAAGCCTGTTGCACACCCAGCACTCTGAGGGTAGCTGGGAGCCACTTGTGAGCTGAAAGAGCAAGTGACATGTAGATTGTTGAATCGTTAACGAGAAAGCCAATTTTATGGAGAAATGATTTTACAGATTCCAGCTTCATTAAAGCAGGTATTTAGAGTAATGGGAAATAGCATTCATAATTATGTCTTAAAGTGCTTCAATATTCAGATATCTGGTGCCTATGTGGTCTGACTTGGGCAGCTCTTTAAGAATACGTATGGTTGCTCTCAATGCCCTGGCCTGATTCTCCCCTTTTGATTCCATGGAAATTAGAGTCACAGAAAAAAGGAACTGCTTTCTCTTCACCCCTCATTAATTCTCAACTCTGCTTGACTCCAGGCTCTGCCATATTCAGTACAATCAGATGGCTTCAAGAAATGTATTATTTGCTTCTACAGTTTTCATTAATGCCATCTTCTATGTACCAGCTTGATGCCATGTAACATAGGAACCATAGACAAATGAAGGACACGATCATGTCCTTTCACATGGATTTAGGGATATGATGCACAGACACACATGTCTACAAAAGAAGAGATTGTGTGATGAATACAACACATATGTTATGAATTGAGGGAGCTAATGTGAGGGAGGGAGAGAGAAAAAGGGAGAGGGAGAGAGAGAGAAAAACACACACAGAGAGAGAGAGAGAGAGAGATTGATTCATATGTGGGAAACTGCTGGAAGAAATTTTCCAAGTAGAGCATGATGTGTGGGTAGGCACCTCAGACAGTGTGAATACAGTAGTCAAGGTATGGACAGGGGAAAGTGTAGGCATGTATCGGGAGGCAATTAAAAGTCTATTTTGAGGGCCAATGTAGTGACTCAACAGGTTAATCCTCCACCTTGCAGTGCTGGTTCATGGCCCTGCTGCTCCACTTCATATCTGGTTCTCTGTTTATAGCCTGGGAAAGCAGCAGAGGATGGCTCAAATCCTTGGACCCCTGCACCCACGTGGGAGACTGGGAAGAGGTTTCTGATTCCTGGCTTTGGATTGACTCAGTTCAGGCTGTTGTAGCCATTTGGTGAGTGAACCAGCAGATGGAATAATCTCTGTTCCTCTTTTTCTCTATGAATCTGTCTTTCAAACAACAATGATAAATAAAAATTTTTTGAAGAGTCTATTTTGCTATCAGTGGGGGCTTGTGTGGAAAAGTGATGGAGTTTAAGCTTGAAAGGAAGGGCTGGAGATCTATTTTAGAATGGTCTTGGTGCTACCTAAAGATATTTAATCTTCACAGAATATTATATTAAGTGTTAAGTGTTATCTAAAATGAGCACAGAGTGTACCCAAATTGGATGGGCAGTTACAGAAGGCTGTTTCACCAGAAGGGAGCCTGTCACAACAGTTGAGAATCTGGCCACTGTATAATAAGAACTTGGGAAATGCTGGCAGGAATGGGTGAGTGGGGAATGAGAGAATAGCCTAGCACCAGTGGTACTGGCAAGTACTATATGCAGATGGAGGAGGAAAAGACATTGAAACAGTTGCTTGCTAATTACATATTTTCTTTTTAAATAAAGATTTTAAAATAAAGAAGGGCCAAATTCAGGGCTATTTGTCCTGATTTGGGGATGTTTTGCTACCATTTCTCTCCTCAAAGCCCAAGGACAGGGACTTGGTGCTGTTAGTCAATTTTATAATTGGAAAGCAGAGCTCAGTATCAATAGAAAGATAAAAGCAAGTTGGGACCAGTGCTGCTGAGTAGTGACTTAAACTGTTGCTTGCATCCTACCTAGGCACAATTTGAATCTCAGGAGGTCTATTTGCTATCCAGTTCCCTGCTAGTATGCCCGGGAAACTAACAGAGACCAGCCTGAAGTGCTTGGATCACTACACCCATGTGGATGACCTACAAGGAGATCCTGGCTCCTGACTTTGGCCCAGATGTGGCAGTCATTTGGGGAGTGAAATAGTGCATGAAAGACCTCCCGCTCTGTCTCTCCCTTTTTCTTCCTGTAACTCAGCCTTGCAAATAAATGAAATTGATCCTTTATAAAAGAAAGATGCAAACCTACAAGCATTAGAAATTATTTTTTCATTAGCTTGGTTTCAAGTGAGCATTTTTCTTAACTCCCTGTCCCATGTTTCCAGTGGAGGATACACAGTTGTGATAATGGTAGCCAAAGTACAGTCAAGTGCTACATTGTGAAATACAGACCATTCTTCTGGGAGAGAAGTAAAAAGTATCTCCTTTTATGAATTAATGGCATTTGGGGAAGACGCATTCTGATACTGAACAGGAAATTTTGATAGTCTCCTTACTTGGTTCCTGAGGATTGGAGGTGAACAGCCATTGGCTCTCAAAGCTATATGGACAGCCAAAATGCTTTCAGATCCAATGCGTCTTTGTATAAATGATGTGTCTTAGGGATAGGATGCCTAGATGCTCAGGCTGGATCTGGGATTCTTTGTAAAATACATTTTTTCTTTTAAAAATTTTCCTCTTCAAGTTTATTTTTGAGATAATGTATTTTCAAACATATTTTCTAGTCAAAGGCTTAATAGCTCTGCTAAATAAAGAGTTCAACAAAAGTAGGAAGAATATAGCCCAGCAGAGAAACAGACAAGAGCTATGAAGTATAATCGAATGAGAATACGCTGAACTCTATTCAAAGCACATTTTCAGTCTACATAGTAGTATATGATTCCTATCAGTTTGTTAAACAAATATTTAAATCAAAGTTTGACAAAACACAGTATTTTTTAATAATAAAATAGAACCAATGTTCTTGAGTGGTTAACCCTTGAGATTTGTGGTAGTGGAAGAAACTGGGAAAGAGGAGATTTCACTGAAGTCTAGTCTCTGGCTGACAAGAAAACTTGAACATGCAAGACATCACAGAATTGTCTTCTGTGAAGGCAGGGGTGTTCAGAAGTTGAACTTTGTGACAGCTAATCAATCACCAGTTGTGGGCATTTCCTACTTGCTGGGTTCCACTGACCAAGGAGAGCTAGGAAAGGGGCTGTGTGCCAGGAAGGGAGCCTGGGTGTGGCACCACCAGCAGCTGCTCCAATGAGTCGCTGACCTTCTGGTAATGCTGTTACAAACAACAAAATACAGACTCATATGGAAACATTGTTCAGTACATGTTAGTTGATAGTCTCATCATTTCCCCCATAAAATGGCTATCACATATAAAAATAATATCCTGTAAGAAAACATGAGAAACAATCACAGAAAGTATGAATAGCCTCATTTCTACAAATAGAGTAATCGAAGAGCTCTATTACCTCCCTTAAAGCAGTACGGCCAGTTAGTTGTGTAGAATTCTGTTACCTTTAACTAGCAGATGGTTTCAAAGCTATTTACAGTCTTCCAGAGCACATACACTATGGAAAATATTCATGTTGCTATCATGAAATATTAATTATTTATATATCTACCTGAGACTGTACAAGACAGGAAGGTACGGAGGAACCTCACTCATGAATACAATGAGCTCTAAAGGAAATGCTACCCTTAAATCAGCTGAGGGGAAGGATGGTGTAGTAGGACTTCACTGGAAGATGAGTTTATTCCATAAATATGAAGATGGATTA